AAAAAAAATTAAAATCGAGGAATATAAGAATGAAAATGAAAAAAAGTGTTACAAATACATTATTGCACGTGTCCGAATATGTCCATATTGCGTAAGCTTAAATGTATTAGTCATACATTTTTTATGTATATATAAATGTACCTCGTAAAGTAATTTTAAATAAAAACTATAGTCATTGTGTTACGCATACATACCGACAATACATGCGTGTCATTTATTTTCGTAATAGCGAAACAGTTTATCCTTCTTCATGATTATCTAAGTTGATAGAAAAAGCTACGATTAGATAATCTACACTTTTTGTGTTTTTGATTTAAAAATTTTAAGAAAATCCACTATTTTATAAAAATAGTTTGGAAAATGAGTAATTTCACGGATAAGTACATACAGGTAATTAAAATTACACAAATATCTTTGTATTTGAAAAAATTCTTACTTTTAAATTATATTCTCTTAATTTAATTTCCCGACGTATTTAATTTTTTGACACTCAAACACATAAAAAAAGATAAAAGACACGTTGAAAATGTATCAAAGATTTAAATATATTGTAATTTTAAAAGAAAAAAAAAAAAAAATAAATAAAAATGTATTAAATTGACTTTTCACATCTCATCTGTGATCATGCGCCAAAAACAAGGAGAGAAATTGATGGAACAAAATAGAAATGGAGTAAAAATATTGAAATCAACGCCATCTTCAGAATGCCTCAAATGAAACGTTCTATACTTTCAAAGAAAGCATAGAAAATATGGAGAGAAGGACAAAAATAGAATAAAAATTATATATCAGCGCTATTTATCTAATATCAAAAATATGTATTAACGCGCAAGATTCTAATACGGGGGTAAATTTATATCACGTTATCCGCCATTAAGACATAATATTTTCGTAACGTGAGTGCTTACATCTTCACAGGATAGAATACTTTTGGTGACAATATCTTCGTGTTATTCGTTACAGGTTGTATCATTTATGTACATAAATAAATAATTTTTGATGTTCGATAGATGGTGTTGGTGGTTAATTCTTTTTCTATTTCTATCTTTCTCTCACCTATTTTCTTTTACCGTTTCATTTACGACACTCTAAAGATGGCGTTGATTTCAATATTTTTACTCTTTCTCTGCCTTTCTTGTATCATCTTCTCTCCTTGTTTATAATTGGTTTACAAAATTTATGTAACAAAGAACATATATTTCCCGTTATCTTTTAATTAATTAAAAATCTTAATAATATCCATTCTATATCCAATTTTCAAATATAATAGAACATTTGTTCTATTTTTTATTTATAATTTTATTTATTATTGAAATTTAATTTCAATTCAAATGTTCCAAATTTCAATTAATGTTGCAATCTTATTTTGAGTCGAAATGAATAATATTGTGAATGATATTAAAATGATAAATGATTTTAGTGCCTTCGAGGTATGGAAAAAAAATACATTTAATGTTAGATTTATTTCATATTTTTGTTTGTAGTAATATCTCGTACACGTATATTTTTATATAAATGGTACATGTACGTGATAATAGGAGAATCTTTAATGAAGACAATATCATCTGCATATTTAATGGCACGTAACTCATAACTTTTTATACATGTAAGTATATACGTAAGTAAATACTTACTCATACAATCTCGCAATCCATCCAACAGTATTGCTTGTTATATTAAAAACGTTGAGAACGAAGAATAGAATTAATACGTTAGTTGATATCTTCTAAATTTATTTTCTTTTTTCTCTTTTCATCTTTTCTTTTGTTTTTTGTGTTTTTGTTCTTCGGTATACAGATTTATGCGATTATGACTAACCCTGAAAAAATTCTAACCTCATTCAGTCCTCTATTAAGAATCGATTCGCAAAATTTATCATCTTTCAAACAATTTTGAATCAATTCATAGTCATCTATATGCAATGATGTAGTTTCACATACAATTACGATAACTCTACAGTTATCATTTTGTTGATTACATGTGCATGTACATTTATACATACGTACATACAGACGTGAATCAGGTATACGTATACAGGCATATGCACGTATGTTATGTATACATATATGCACGACGTTACCGATTAATCTTTACATTTATATTATATATTGTTTATACGTTTCTATGATATATATATCATATATATATATATATATATGTATATATATATCACACACGCTCAAACATATATATATATGCGTATATATATATATCTATATATCTGTGGTGTGTGTTGTGTGGATGTGTGTGTGTGTGTGTGTGTGTGTGTGTGTGTGTATCATTAATATGTTACACTATCGATTATGTTTACATCATACAGTTTACAAATCTATGGAATATTCCTTTTTTTTTTTTTATATATATATACAAGGATTGTTTTAGGAAAGGAGAAAAAAAATTATTTAAAAACTTACCAAAATTACGCATTCATATGCGTGTACGCGCATGTGTCCTATCTGTCACGAAAGTATTACGCAATCTTTCGTAATATAAACATTCATTCACTAATTCCATGTACTTCTGGAGTCAGAGATCGAGCAAAATCATCGTCGAGAACAGATGAGAAAATTTAGGAAGAGATACATTTTCGCAATCAAGCATTAATAAAATATCAAAGATTTTAAGCTCTTCCTTTTTTATTCCTTTTTAGAATCTTTCGTTCTCGTTCGACGATCTTGAACAGTTAAAGACTCGCGTCAATACAGCCTATTATTGTTTCGAAATAAATTACGTTGATTCGTTTGCTTCCTTTTCATTGATTGTTTTCATCGATCGTACACTTGTTAAAAATTGAATATGAGGAGCAAACTGGAACGGGAATTCGAACAAAATTATTGAATCGATCATAAAGATTAGTTTTAGCAAACATTGGCCACAATTCATCCGGTTCGTACCATTCTGTTTTTTTTTTTTTTTTTTTTTTTTTTTTTTTTTTTCGTATTATTTGCACGAACTTTTTATTCCTTTGTAAAATTATACAAAAATAAGTTGTGTTACAGATTTTTGATGGCTACCGTGGTATTTCCTTTTTCTTCTTTCATCTTCCACTATCATCTTTAACGCCATCAGCAATCTTTCTTTCTTACAGGAGTCGACGGAATTTTCGATTCGTTTGTCATTAATTCCCATCGATTATATAGACAAGTTACTATAATATGTTTAATTGGCAATCGATATTTTTTTTTTATTTCTTTTTACTAATCGAGGAAACTTCTTTCCAAATTCGTATTTACTCTCATTGATTCTGATGATACGACGGGGTATCCATAAATTTTATATAGACGTATTCTAAAGTTTTTGAATATATTTCTACGAATTTACTGTTATCTATCGTTAAACGATTCCTAACTAGATTTGAATGAAGGAATACAACTCGGTCCGCGCTTCGTTATTAAATCTCTTATTAATTCGATAGCGTATGCGCATTGAACGATCTGCAAACGACAATGGGCAAACGCGCGCACGACAACACATCGAAATGAATTCCTTCGAACTACAGCCCGATTTTATCGGCTACTTTGGCGATTCTAATACTCTTTCGCGATTACGCAGCTATGTTGCTCGTCCATGAAAAGTAATCGGTGAAAATGTGAAACGGCAATATATATATATCCGAGTGTCGACGAGCATCGTATGCCGCGTGGAGGCAGTCTTTCAAATGAAACCTATAGATCCATGTAGCGATTCGCGCTCTCAGTCGTTCATTTTTTTTTTTTTTTTTTTTTTGATTTAAAGCGAAAAAACTTCGTGTGGTCGACATATGTACAAAAGATAGCGAATCAAATCACGTTTCAAATATATAAGGTAAATGTATACTAGTGTTCCACGATTGTAAGAAATTGTAGGAAAGATTTTAAACGATTGCTATTTTTCAACTAGCACGACCTATCCTTATTTAACGGTCGAAAAGTTTTGTTGCGGATTTTGATTCGAAGATACCCACGTGGTAAAGACATCCCTGCAATGACTAACCACGCATTCGTTGCTGCAATACTCGTCTTCCCATTCGCTATTCGCAACAGCGGTATTCGGGCATCCATGGCGTATACAAGCGTTCGACGTTGGTCTTTGACCAACCATGCTCGCAGCTTGATTCACAGAGTTCACTGCTGGTGGAGAACTCGACAATGTATCACTCTTTGCCGGATTCGTATGCATCAATTGTTGTTGCGATTGTTGCTGTTGTTGTTGGTGGTGTTGTACTTGTTGCGACTGTTGTTGCACTTGTTGCACTTGTTGCTGTGGTATCTATGAAAACATATAAATTCTCATAATTATTTTACTTCTTAATTTAATACTAATAATAGATTTGATATCGAAAAGGGATAATTGTAATTCATGAAATATCACTATTACATTTCATTTTATAATAATTTTCACACGACACACATATTCTAGAAGAACAGGAAAACTGGAAAGAGCAATAAAAAAACTAGATTGAATAGAAAGGATAAAAAGGATGCGAGGGAAAAGAATGACAAATCAATATGACTAACCTGCATGTATTGTTGTTGCATGTGTTGTTGTTGTTGCTGTTGCGAAATATGCGTTGGTGCCATCGATGTTGCCATCAAAGTCTTGAAAAAAATGGATAAAATAAATAGAAATAGAAAAAAAAGAGGAAAATGAATTACAGCTACATTCCTTACAATGCTAAAATGACACATTTAAAGATCTCGACAGATCTTTAAAGAATAAAAATATTTTTTTACAAATACACATATAGTTAAAAAGAGAGACGAAAAAAAAAAAAAAAAGAGAAAGAGAAAAATGAAGAACCATTACCTGTTGCGTTTGTTGTTGCTGTGGATTTCCTGGCATCGTTAAATGGTGAGGAGATTTTTTTATTTGCATTTGTTGCGTCGTTTGCTGATGATGTTGAAGTTGTTGATGCGGATGAGAATGCGGATGTTGTTGTTGAGGCGAAGAGGGTTGCGGTTGTGGACTGTAAACTTGATACGAGACACTTCCGGGTGTTCCATTCCCGGTATAATTACCATATGCTGCGTATTGAACTTGTTGTTGCGGCGTTGGCTGTTGTTGCGGTTGTTGTTGATGTTGTTGATTGTCGTTTTCGGCTGCCCCCTTGCTAACTAAAGACGCCCTATACGCCGCAAGAGCCTGCAGATATTCTTTTTTCGCGGCTTCCGTTTTCTTTTTGTACACCTACAAGGATTTACACAATTTTCGTTATACAATATACATATACAATTGTTATACAATTCGTTATACAATATACAATTACGATCGATTTTTTTTTAAAAAAGAAGAGAAAGAAATATGATATCCTGCAAAAATATGCACTCACGTTCTTGTGTTCCGTATCCAACGCATCCCACATCGAAGCTACGATCTTTGAAACTTCGCCAAAGCTCGCATTCGGATTTTGCCCTTTTATCGCGGCTTGGGTATCTCTAAAAAATAGAGCGTACGCCGAAACAGGTCTGCAATATAAATAATAATGTGTTACGAAAAGAAAAACGAGTAGAAAAAGATTTGTGTGTGTGTGTGTGTGTGTGTGTGTGTGTGTGTGTGTGTGTGTGTGTGTGTGAAGGAGAGAGAGAGAGCGAGAGAGAGCGAGAGAGAGAGAGCGAGAGAGAGCGAGAGAGAGAGAGCGAGAGAGAGCGAGAGAGAGAGAGCGAGAGAGAGCGAGAGAGAGAGAGCGAGAGAGAGCGAGAGAGAGAGAGCGAGAGAGAGCGAGAGAGAGAGAGCGAGAGAGAGCGAGAGAGAGAGAGCGAGAGAGAGCGAGAGAGAGAGAGCGAGAGAGAGCGAGAGAGAGAGAGCGAGAGAGAGCGAGAGAGAGAGAGCGAGAGAGAGCGAGAGAGAGAGAGCGAGAGAGAGCGAGAGAGAGAGAGAGAGAGAGAGAGAGAGAGAGAGAGAAATTTGGTAGTGAAACGTGGAAAAGCTGGCCGATTCGACAGTGATTGTTAACGCGTTCAAATATTTAACGGAAAACGAGGATTTGAAACCGTGTTTAAACGTTTCGTCTAACGCGTAAAATTTGTTATCGACTCGTTTCTCGTTTTACTATTCTTAATTCGATTCGATCGAGTTAAGTTTCAAATCCGACACTGCATAAACGCGTGAAAAGAGCGGGAGACGAGTTTAAACCCGATTATAAATCGGGAAAGAAAAGGAGAGGGGAAAAAAAAAAAAAAAAAAAAAATAAAAACGTCACTCACTTTTGCGGTTCGTTGGGATCCCTCTTTTTCTTCTTTTTCTGCGATTTTGGTTTCCTTTGATTTTTTGCTCCAACGTCAGTCGGCTCCGGCGAGGGTCGCTTAATCCCGGTAATCTGTACAAACGAATACGAATCGCGCAAGATTTACTAGTTCTTTATTTCGGTTAGATCGGGGACCGATTCGATCAATTGCTCACCAAACTCACCATTCCGGAATGAGGCGTACTGTCGTCGCTATCCTCGCTAGTAGTGGTATTGTTATTCGGCTCGGGTACAGTATTCGATTGTATAGCGGAGGGACTACCACCCGTTGGACTTCTATACTGCATTTGCTGCTGCAATTGTTGTTGCTGTTGTTGCTGTTGCTGTTGAGTGTGCATGTACTGTATATGCTGCTGCAACTGAACTTGTTGTTGCTGGTGTTGCTGTTGCTGCTGCTGCTGCTGCTGCTGTTGAAGCAACATTATTTGCTGGTTTCCATGTTGTTGCCGTGGTGAGCTCATACTCACGTACGAACCCTGCGACGTATTATACGTCGAGCTGGGAAAAATAACATCGAAAAAGAAGATGAAAAACGAACAGAAACCTGCCTAAAATGATCTCGTATCGAGAATCAAACGATCGATTTCATAACGGAATCAAACTCCATGGTGGGTTATTAATCGACAATTACCACCAAATCCGCCACAAACGCCATCCATTTTTACCGATCGGTAAGATATAATCGATATGAGATTCGTTAACCGAGCCAAGACAAGAACCAATTTACAACGTTAAAAATCTTACCTTACGCTGATCGGTTGTTGCATCGAGTGATCCTGTTGCAAGTAAAGGGATTGTTGATATCCACCAGGATCTAAATTCAATCCGTCCGAAGATTGTTGAACGTTACCGGTTTGCATCATCTGAGAAAAGCATTTGAACGAAGATAATCGTTTCCGTCTCCTCTTTCAAGCTATCGTCGTTGTCGCCGTCTCGCGGCAAATTTACCTGTGTTTGGTAACCGTGCATCGGATCATGTTGAGGCTGAGTTTGTTGTTGCGTTTGATGCTGTTGTTGCTGTTGAGGCTGTTGTTGCTGTTGTTGATGTTGTTGGTGAGAATGGGAATGGATGGCCGGTATATCGAAATCCTCGTCACCAAAACTAGGGGTGTGAAACGTCTGCGAAGAAAAGAAATGTGTTTGGGTTGGAATCTCGTGTTACAAATTCTCTTTGAAGAGAACGGTCCCAAATGGTTTTGAAAGAAGACCGCGGGACAAGAATGGAAACACGTCGACTTGATGCAATATGTAGATGAGCAAAAACATAGAACATAGAAAGCAAAAGCTCGTTTAGAATAAACGATCATCGATCGATTTCCATTCGTTCGAATCAAAAGAATCTTTTTTTTTTTTTTTTTTAAATGCGAGCCAACATTCGTTCGGTATTTGGATAATTCGATCTTCGCTCAAATTCTGGATTAATTTTGTCAAATTCGATCATTCACGCTTTCGATCGTTTTTTCGATCGATATATACGTTTCACATAAAAGAGAGAAAGAGAGAGAGAGATCATCACGGCGAATCGTTTGAAATCCTTTTAGCGATTTATCAACGTTTCGAGGCAGGGAACACGAAGGAAGGAAAATACATTTGCCGTGTAGAGCGTGTCGGGCCATGGGGAATAAAAGTTTTTAAATTGGATTTAATAGCATCAGGAATTTTCCTTTGAAGGAACGTACTTGCCTATTGATCGAGTATACCTCTGCCCCTCTACCCTTACTGTGCCCATCGCGCGTTACCCCTTACCTCGCGATGTTTCTCTTACTCTATCGTTTCACTCTCGCCTCTCTCTCTCTCTCTCCCTCTCCCTTTTCACCGCGCTCCGTCCCGTAACGTCCCATAACCGTCCCGTCGATGCTCGCGTGTACGCGTACTCGTCCTATTTCAACTACTCCTACACCTCCTACTCCTCCTCTCGCGCACCTCCTTCTCCTCCACCTCTGCTCCCTTTCCATCTCCGAATCGACTACGCGCGTCTATNCGCCCGCATCAGCCAACCCGTTCACGCTCGCGCTTTCGCCCGGTGTGCCCGGTGTGCCCGGTCCCCGTGTCCCGTACCCGACCGTCTCCGCCCCTGCCTTCCCATATCCACCGATAACCAACCTTCTTCCTTCCTACGAATTAACCATTTTCGCAAATATATATATATATATGTGTGTATTCGAGAACTTACTTGATCGGCCATGGCGTAGCTATTCTGATGATACTGCGTCGAATGATGATGCTGCGGAACGTTCAACGAAAAATCCAAACTCTCGTTTCTCTGAAACAAATTAAAAAAAGAAATATATATATATGTGTGTGTGTGTATGTGTGTGCGTGTGCGAGCGTATATTTTTCCATTGAATATTCGTATGAGAAACGTACATTTGCGCCGTTTCGCAAATTTCGCCACCCATTTTTTCCCTTCTCTCCATCATCATCCTTTCCTTCCTAAAAATATTGTCGCGCAATTTGTCGATCCCGCGTCTCGGTTGTATCCTTTCCGCGGGACGGGACAAGCGCGTCCTTCCTTCCTTCCTTCCTTCCTTCCTTCCTTCCACCCTTTTTACGGTCAATGGCCTCGACAAGCGTGAGTTCGTCGATTCTATTCGTTCGATGTTTTGCATGGTAAGAACACGAGAAATCCGCGCTTCCGCGTTCTCGAACGAGAATCGCTTAATCTCGTCTTTAGGTGCTCGTGATAGGATCAATCGGATCGTATTTCCATTACACGTATCGAATTTTAAAAGCAACGTTTTTTCCCTCTTATTACGCAAATTCCAATGTTTTGCTATTTTTTTTTTCCAATTATTCTTATTCATTATTATTTCGAT